GGGGAGGGGTGAGAAAGCCGGGGAGGGATGTGTATGGGGGGAGGGGTGAAGAAGCCGGTGATGGATGGATAGTATGGGGGAGGTGTTAGAAGCAGGGGAGGGATGTGTATGGGGTGAGGGGCCGAGAAGCCGGGGATGGGATGAGTATAGGGGTGAGGTGTGAGAAGCCCCTGAGTGGAGGCCAGTGGAGGGAAATGACAGAGGGGGGTGGAGGACACTGAGTGGAAGGGAAATGAAAAGAGGGGGTGGAGGACACTGAGTGAGCGAAGAAGATGGATGAGACGTTTCTGGAATGAAGACGTTTTCCGGCAGTGAGACAGCGATGATGGGAAGACGTTTCCGGAATGAAGACGTCTTCCGGCAGTGACGAAGATGATGGACGACGTTCCAGCCAGTGAGAAGATGATGGACGACGTTTCCAGCAGTGAGAAGATGTGGGAAGACAGTTTCCGGAATGAAGACGTTTCCAGCAGTGAGAAGATGATGGAACGACGTTTCCAGCAGTGAGAAGATGATGGTACGACGTTTCCAGCAGTGTGAGAAGATGGAAGACGACGTTTTCCGGAATGAAGACGTTTCCGGCAGTGAGCAGATGATGGACGACGTTTCCGGAATGAAGACGTTTCCGGCAGTGAGAAGATGATGGAAGACGTTTCCGGAATGAAGACGTTTCCGGCAGTGAGAAGATGATGGAAGACGTTTCCGGAATGAAGACGTTTCCCGGCAGTGAGAAGATGATGGAAGACGTTTCCGGAATGAAGACGTTTCCGGCAGTGAGAAGATGATGGAAGACGTTTCCGGAATGAAGACGTTTCCAGCAGTGATAAGATGATGGAAGACGTTTTTGGAATGAACACATTTCTAGCAGTGAGAAGATGATGGAAGACGTTTCCGGAATGAAGACGTTTCTAGCAGTGAGAAGATGATGGAAGACGTTTCCGGAATGAAGACGTTTCTAGCAGTGAGAAGATGATGGAAGACGTTTCCGGAATGAAGACGTTTCTAGCAGTTGAGAAGATGATGGAAGACGTTTCCGGAATGAAGACGTTTCCAGCAGTGAGAAGATGATGGAAGACGTTTCCGCAATGAAGACGTTTCTAGCAGTGAATGAGGTTTCATTCAGGAAAGTCCATTCATTCCAAAACAAAGGTTTTTCCCCAGGAAATGAGAAGGACATTGGTCATGTCATCCGAGGTACAGATGACAATTGTCACATAAATGTTTGTACGGACGGTCATTGGAAAACCTTTTAGTGTATGGCCAGATGGACTGTTGGTGTGAATGAGCCCTAAAGGTGACCATACACGATACAATCTGATTGTACAATCTCCTTTACATCCGCCATCAACTCTATAGTACAAGGATCTGCCCCATTCCATACAGACTGATGGGGTGTCTGGGGTCCTCCTATTACATCGTTTTGGGAAAGTAAAAAGAAATAGTTTTCTGTTCCAAAACCCCCAATATGTACCTTGTCACCCCCTCCTATGTTCCCTGCATTGCCCCTCCCCCCATAGTGACCCCAAATTGTTCTCGTTGGTTTTCCTCTCCTTTTCCAGTAATGATCCAACATTGTCCTCCATAGTTCCTCCCCTTCATTATGATGACCCCCCTATTCTCCTCCATAGTTCCTCCCCTCCATTATGATGACCCCCCTATTCTCCTCCATAGTTCCTCCCCTCCATTATGATGACCCCCCTATTATCCTCCATAGTTCCTCCTCTCCATTATGATGACCCCACATTGTCCTCCATAGTTTCCTCCTCTCCATTATGATGACCCCACATTGTCCTCCATAGTTCCTCCTCTCCATTATGATGACCCCACATGTCCTCCATAGTTCCTCCTCTCCATTATGATGACCCCCCTATTGTCCTCCATAGTTCCTCCCCTCCATTATGATGACTAGAGATGAGCGAAGTATTCAAAAATTCGATTCGACTGATTCGGCGAATTCATGGAAGAAATTTGATTTGAGTCGAATATATTCGCTGTGAATTTAACTTAAAAAAGGGTGTTTCTAGGCTTCAGAGAGACTTAATATTAGTGCAGAACACTGTACCTTTAATTTAAATGCCCTTGGAGTCTGCTGGGGAAGAGAAATAATACTGTCAGTCAGTATGACATGCAGATGAGTGCCGTCGATCTTAGAATCACCGCACACTTCACTCATTTGGGCAGTCACGGGGCCAAAACCAGAGTTTGGAGCCACAGTGTGGCGGTGGAGGCAGCAGCAATGGGAGGCCATACAGCACCCTATGACAAAATGGAAACCAGCAGGAGTGTGAGGAGACCTGAAAGTGGCACATGGCAGAGTGTGGCGATTCAGACAGCAGCAATGGGAGGCGGTACAGGGACCCATGACACACTGTGGACCTGCAGCAGCAGCGTGGACGAGGCGGTACGGGGGCCCATGGCAGATTTGGGGCCTGGCAGCACCTATGGGAGGCCTGTAATCTGCCAGCAACCTATGACAAAATGGAAACCAGCAGGAGTGTGAGGAGACCTGAAAGTGGCACATGGCAGAGTATGGCGATGGAGACAGCAGCAATGGGAGGGCGGTACAGGGACACATGACACACTGTGGACCCAGCAGCAGCGTGACGAGGCGGTACGGGGGCCCATGGCAGATTTGGGGCCTGGCAGCACCTATGGGAGGCCTGTAATCTGCCAGCAACCTATGACAAAATGGAAACCAGCAGGAGTGTGAGGAGACCTGAAAGTGGCACATGGCAGAGTGTGGCGTTGGAGACAGCAGCAATGGGAGGCGGTACAGGGACCCATGAGACACTGTGGACCTGGCAGCAGCGTGAGGAGGCGGTACAGGGGCCCATGGCAGATTAGGGGCCTGGCCGCAGCAATGTGAGGCACGTAATCTGCCAGCATCCTATGACAAAATGAAACACACCAGCAGTGTGAAGAGACCTGAAAGTGGCACATGGCATGACACACTGTGGACCTTGCAGCAGCGTGAGGAGGCGGTACAGGGGCCCATGGCAGATTAGGGGCCTGGCAGCAGCTATGGGAGGCCCGTAATCTGCCAGCACCCTATGACAAAATGAAACACACCAGCAGTGTGTGAGGAGACCTGAAAGTGGCACATGGCAGGGGCATGATTCATGGCGGATTTAGTCAGTTGTGTCAGGAACTGGTGGTTTGAAATCCAGACTAATCCACGCCTGATTCATTTTCACAAACGTGAGTCTCTCCACACTTTGGGTGGACAGTCGTGTCCTCCGCGGAGTTACAATACCTCCTGCCGCACTAAACACGCGCTCCGATGCCACGCTACTGGCCGGGCATGACAGCCTTTCAAGGGCAAATTCAGCTAGTTGGGGCCAAAGGTCAAGTTTCGTTGCCCAGTAGTCAAGGGGATTGTCTACCTCGGTTGGCAGGGTGCTGTCCAAGTAGGCCCAAGCCTGTTGTTTGAGGTCCTGCTCCAGGTCCACCTGATGCTGCTGCTGCGGCTGGTTAGTAGTTTCCTCACTGCGCTGGTGAAGAAAGCTACTCATCATCGACTGCAGACTGAGGCAGCCGCTGCTGGTGGAGCTGCCACTGCTCCTACCACCCCACCCCTCCCCTGCTGCCATGGCAGCGGAACGCGAGCGCACAGGGCCCACAGTGTCTGAGGATGGACGTTGGCGCAGAAAGGCAGAGACCAACTGACTACATAGGTGGTTTTTATAGTACATAATTTTGGCCTCCCCTCTCAGCAGGTGTGAAAAAGGCCACCATTTTGGACCGGTAGCGAGGGTCCAACAAGGTGGACAGCCAAAAGTCATCCCTCTGTCTGATGGTTATTATTCGGCTGTCGCTACGCAAGCAACCGAGCATGCTATGGGCCATTTGTGCCAAGGAATGTGAGGGACTCCCTGCTTCCATCTCCACAGCATACTGCCCAGTGCGTCTGGGTCCTCTGTCTCCTCCTCCTCCTCCTCTACCAGATGCTCTGCTCCTGCTCCTCCACTCCTGTCCGCTGAGTGGAAAAACCACCCATTTCACTCAATAATTCCTGAGCACAAATGTCCTCCTCTACCTCCTCCTCTTCTTCCTGTCCTGCCCCCACAGGGGTCATGTGGCGTTGAGATCTGTGCGCCACGTCTACCGCACCCTGACCAGCCATTGTTAACAGCATTTGTTCCAGGACGTGCAACAGAGGAATGACGTCGTTCATCCCATAGTCCTGCCGACTCACGAATAGCGTGGCCTCCTCAAAGGGCCTGAGCAAGCGGCAGGTGTCACGCATGAGCTGCCAATGGCTGACATCGAAGTTACACAGGGGAGTACCTTTATCCGCTTGTAACATCAGGAAATCAGTGATGGGCCTTTCGCTGCTCGTAAAGGCGGTCTAACATGTGTAGGGTTGAATTCCACCTTGTTGCAACATCGCAGATCAGGCGATGCTGTGGAATTCCGTTCTGCCGCTGCAGCTCAAGGAGGGTGTGCTTTGCGGTGTAGGAATGGCTGAAATGCATGCAAAGTTTACGTGACATTTTAAGGATGTCTTGCAGTGGGATGGTGGATTTTAGGAACCGCTTGACAACCAGATTGAACACGTGAGCCATGCATGGCGCATGGCACAACCTTCCTTGACGCAGAGCAGACACCATGTTCTTTCCGTTGTCGGTCAACATGGTTCCGATTTTCAGTTTGCGCGGAGACAGCCATCTGTCGATTTCTCTGTTCATTACACTCAGAAGTTCCTCCCCTGTGTGACTACGTTCGCCAAGGCATACCAGGTGCAGCACAGCGTGACACCTTTGCGCCCTGCACATGTGATATGCCGGTCGGGTAATGGGACCTGGCACGGGGGGTGGCGGCTGAGGACACGGCGGAAGAAGAGGTGGTAGAGGCGGACATGTTTGCTGGACCAAGGACGTGCAAACGTGGAGGCAAAAGCGTCGTGACCTGTCCAAGTTGCTGGTGCGGCTGTGCCGGCACCACGTTCACCCAGTGGGCCGTAAATGACATGTACTGTCCCTGACCGTAGTTACAGCTCCACACGTCGGCGCTGCCGTGCACTTTGGCAGAGACCGACATGCTCAAAGACTGGCCCACCATCTCTTTCTACATGTGAATGCAGGGCTGGCACTGCCTTTTTTGGCGAAGAAATGACGGCTTGGCACTCTCCACCGCGGCGCGGCACAAGCCATCATTTCTCGGAAAGGTGCTGAGTCCACCACTGGAAAGGGAGGGACTGCAGCACCAGCAACTTGGACAGGAGGACGTTCAGCTTTTGCACCGTCGGGTGCGTGCTCGCAAACTGTTGTCTCTTGGGAAACGGATTCCAAGAAAGACTGCTGACGGAATCCGAGAAGAGGAGTAGCAGGAGAAGGAGCATCTGAACGAGCGGAAGATGCCAACGAGCGACAACTCCCCTCAGCAGAGGTGTTGGAGCCTTGACTGGCTGATGGAGGGCGATTGACGTCGGGTGACGGAGCAAGTAACGGAGCGGGTGATGGAGCGGGGGCTGGGGCAGGCAGAACTGCCGTATCTTTATCACGGTTTTCCCAGGCCACCAAATGGCGACGCTGCATATGCTGACGCAACGCTGTAGTCCCAACATGGGCCCCCTGGCCACGCTTGACTTTCTGGCCACATAGTCGACATACGGCTACGTTTACTTCCTCGGGCGGCTTGACGAAAAATTGCCACACCGCCGAGTAGGAAACTTTGCCCCCGCTACTCCTCACTGGCTGACTGCTACTTCCTCCGTGCACACTGGCACCACTACTGGCCGTGGTGGTAGGCTGCAGTGGAGCTGGTGCTCTACTCCGTGGCCGTTTGGCTCCACTGACACTGCTGCGACCCTGCTGCCTCCTGGGCAACCCACCGACTGTTTCGCTCGCTGCCAAGCTGGCACCCTCTTCTCCTGATGATGCGGAAGAAATTGCCTGATGACGACGAGGCTGCCAAGTGCGATCAACCCCTCATCATCAAGTAGGGTCTCTGCCTCACTACTAGCCCCCTCGGCTGCGTCTGTTCAGGAGACAGACCTGTCTCTAGACCGGCTACCGAGCCACTCTCCTCGCCAGTACTTGTTCGCCTGGCTGCTGAAGAGGCGGATGTCTCCCCCCGTTCCTGACCGCCCTCTGTTAGCTCTTCCTCACTGTACAGTGGGGCTGAGCCCACAGCATGCGATACTTCGCTTGGTGAGGGGAACACCAAAGGACGGGGGCAGGTAGAGGACACGTGATTTCAGTGGGCTTGCTCCCGGGCCATGCCAACTAACGGTTGTGTCTGACGTACTCACCGACCGTTGGCTGTAGGTGTCAGAGGTGACCTGGGAAGAGGAAGACGACCGAGCCAACCAATCGATGACGGCAGGGTTGCGGTGGAGACACGACCGCTGGATGACACCGGGAGCACTGGCCTCTGGCTGCGACTAGTGCTGCCTCGACCCCTTCCTCTGCTGCCACGTCTGCTCGCTCCTAAAACATTGCCTCCTCTGCCACTCCTCTGCATGTTGTCTGACATACTCTTTAATTCAACGATTCTGTGTCCCTGAGTAACAATTCTGTGTCCCTGAGTAACAATTCTGTGTCTGTCCCTGAGTAACAATTCTGTGTCCCTCAGTAACAATTCTGTGTCCCTCAGTAACAATTCTGTGTCTGTCCCTCAGTAACAATTCTGTGTCTGTCCCTGAGTAACAATTCTGTGTCCCTCAGTAACAATTATGTGTCCCTGAGTAACAATTCTGTCTGTCCCTGAGTAACAATTATGTGTCCCTAAGTAACGTTTCTGTGGCCCTAAGTAACGGTTCTGTGGCTCTCAGTAACAATTCTGTGTCCCTGAGTAACAATTCTGTGTCTGTCTCCTGAGTAACAATTATGTGTCCCTAAGTAACAATTCTGTGGCCCTAAGTAACGGTTCTGTGGCTCTCAGTAACAATTCTGTGTCCCTGAGTAACAATTCTGTGTCTGTCCCTGAGTAACAATTATGTGTCCCTAAGTAACATTTCTGTGGCCCTAAGTAACGGTTCTGTGGCCCTCAGTAACAATTCTGTGTCCGAGTAACATTTCTGTGGCCCTAAGTAACGGTTCTGTGGCCCTCAGTAACAATTCTGTGTCCCTCAGTAACAATTCTGTGTCCCTGAGTAACAATTCTGTGTGTCTGTCCCTGAGTAACAAATTCTGTGTCCCTAAGTAACGTTTCTGTGGCCCTAAGTAACGGTTCTGTGGCCCTCAGTAACAATTATGTGTCCCTGAGTAACAATTCTGTGGCCCTAAGTAACAATTTCTGTGGCCCTCAGTAACAATTCTGTGTCCCTCAGTAACAATTCTGTGTCTGTCCCTGAGTAACAATTCTGTGTCTGTCCCTGAGTAACAATTTTGTGTCCCTGAGTAACAATTCTGTGTCCGTCCCTGAGTAACAATTCTGTGTCCCTAAGTAACGTTTCTGTGGCCCTAAGTAACGGTTCTGTGGCCCTCAGTAACAATTCTGTGTCCCTAAGTAACGTTTCTGTGGCCCTAAGTAACGGTTCTGTGGCCCTCAGTAACAATTCTGTGGCCCTCAGTAACAATTCTGTGTCCCTGAGTAACGTTTCTGTGGCCCTAAGTAACGGTTCTGTGGCCCTCAGTAACAATTCTGTGTCCCTGAGTAACGTTTCTGTGGCCCTAAGTAACGGTTCTGTGTCCCTCAGTAACGTTTCTGTGGCCCTAAGTAACGTTTCTGTGGCCCTCAGTAAACGTTTCTGTGGCCCTCAGTAACGATTCTGTGGCCCTAAGTAACATTTCTGTGGCCCTAAGTAACGTTTCTGTGGCCCTCAGTAACGATTCTGTGGCCCTAAGTAACATTTCTGTGGCCCTAAGTAACGATTCTGTGGCCCTAAGTAACGTTTCTGTGGCCCTAAATAACGTTTCTCTGTCCCTAAGTAACATTTCTGTGGCCCTAAGTAACATTTCTGTGGCCCTAAGTAACGTTTCTCTGTCCCTAAGTAACGTTTCTCTGTCCCTAAGTAACGTTTCTCTGTCCCTAAGTAACGTTTCTGTGGCC